CGTCAAAGCCACAAACTTGCTCGTATACCCCACCCCTGCACACTCCAGAATATTTGTTGTACCCACCTAGTATTGACGTCACCACCCACCGTATTCTTTCAGCAACGGCATTTCATGTCCTTCTGAGGTGGCATATCTATCGAATAACCCCTTCCTATACCACATAAGTACCCTACCATGATATACCAACGAATCAAAATCGATGCAACCAGCACCTGATACCCTACCCCTACCCAATGAAATATACCCTACCCTCACATTACCAGAAGACGTTGTACCCCTACCCACTACGTGGAGGTCCGCTTCCAGCCGGACTTTGTTGGATTTTTCAAATTTTAAATTTCTCCTCGGGTAAATTCCAAATGACACGATGAAGGTTGAATAATAGTCTCCAAATTTGAATCGAGTGAGATGGAGTACCCCCACCTCCAAGATCCATCCAGTTTTCGACCAAAACAGAAAATAGTCATCCAAATATTCAAAATTAAACCAAGGAGTTCAACCCTTTCGTAACTCAGAATGTAACTGTTGAACCTTACTTCCATTGAATAGGGTAGGGTCTGCCCATGGTTGATCTCATGTGGGGTAGTCACTATCAAGGGGGTACACCTTCGAAAGAAGGGGGTCATCTATCCACACGCAACGTCAATGGTGTGGTGATAGCACGGGTGACATCCAAAATACACCGGTACTATCATTTGGAAGGGGTGTTTTATCTTGTATAAAATGGTCCCTAAAGGGGGTTCAGAAAGACATATTTTTTGAAATAAGGGTAGGGGTACATTTTTTAGGGGTCATCAATTCGAAAACAAGGATGGTACACATCACCCACCATGAATGCTTGACTTGCCTTCCGAGATGGGTGGGGTGGAAAGTTTTGGGGGTCACCTTCAGGGGGTAAGGTGGTACGTGGGGTAGTGCAAAACAACTTTTTGAAACTTGAATGCACGACGTTGAGCAGTGCGATGTGAGGAGCGACGGGGAGGGGAAAGGGCATGGCAGGAGCAATCAGAGACACAAGAATGTAGCACAGGGAGCATGAAGGGAGCAAGAGAGGATGATGATCAAAACTAGAGGCAGGATAGGTTTGGAACAGCCTGACCTTGATCCGAAACGCCCGCAGGGATGTAGAGATAGGCAGGAGGCAACAGGAAGGCAGAGGAGGTTGGGGCAGAGCTTAATGGCAACGCCATCAAACACATGGAACAAGTGTACCCCGAGGACGAGAACAAACGAAGTGGATGGGTCCACCATTACATACAGAATCAAGTCCCCAAGGGGATGTGAAATTGATTCTGTCAATCATTGCGACCTCATGATTCCTTGACATCGAACAGTCTTCTTGACGCATGATAGACAGGTCAAAGCAGCGGATGGATCTGCTCGCGAAGGTTGGAGCAGGTAAGCCTTTGCACTCAGCCGATTTAATCTCTCGTCACTTCCAAATTCTTCGCAGCCCAAGAACCTTTGGCAGTGAAGAATGAAGACGGAAGGCGGGTGGAGAAAGAGCCCCAAAGGAGCTCAACAACTCCTGATGGCAAAGAGAACCCTGAGAAATCATACACAACATCATCAAGTGAAAGAGCGTTGGTTAGGTCTCTAATCATTCTGATTTTGTGCCAACAACAGGAAAGGATGCCTCGCCGAATATGCTCGATGCAGAAGCAGCTGCCATGGCCGGTCTTGCTGCCTTGACACAGGTACAGCTCCTTCATTTGTTGTTTTCATATCGGATCTTGCATTTACTCGCTGCAATGCAGAGTTTTGTGGCAAGCACAGAGTTCAAATCAGGTCAAAGCGTCTCCAACGGGAATGGAAAGAGAGAAGCAGAGAGTGGAGCCCATGAAGCTGCAGACGCCTTGATCGCCTTGACGTCGTTGAGCAACGTTCGCAACCACCGCAAACGATCCAGACGAGGTCCTGACAGCAATAGCTCCTCGAATGCAAGCAGCCCCAAACGAAGGATGATGGCTATTCATCATTCTTTGCGAGTTGAAGTCCCCTCGCCGAACAAAGCCAAGTCTCGTCAGAGCGAGCTGTCCACTCCCAAGGATGAAGAGATGAAGAGCAGAAGCAGTGATCAGAACTTTTCCTCTCCAGCAGCCAACTCTCTGTTCAACAGCGGCACCTCCAACCGCGAGGTCGGATTTTTCTGTGCAAGTTTGCCGTTTGACTATCAGGTGCTCGACAGGGATCCAGCAGACCTGGAACTCCTGCAAAAAGGAAGCCGTGCAACTGTAAAAATTCAAAATGTCTGAAATTATATTGTGAATGCTTTGCTTCGGGTGAGATTGTACATGTGTGGTTGTTTTCTGCTCATTTCGATGTTTCAGGGCTGTATTGTGAAGTTCAGTGTAACTGTCACTCTTGCCACAACAACGTCAGGTTCGAATGGGATCGACAGGCAGCTGTTGTTTCCACTCTTGAGAGGAATCCGCATGCTTTTCGACCGAAGATTACACAGACTGGTCAACAAGGGATTGTGGATTCACCTGCCAAGGTGATTGAATACATCTGAGGGGGCGCGATGGCTTATGTTTGTGAAGGCCCGGCATATGAAGGGATGTCACTGCAAGAAAAGTGGATGCTTGAAGAAATACTGCGAGTGTTTCCAGGTCAGTGTCAAGCTGCTCGTCCTCTGGTTACTAGCTTATACATTGCGACTGAATCGCAACTTTCAGGCTGCAGTTATGTGTTCAGACACTTGTAAATGCATAGAATGTCGTAACAATGTTGAGAACCTCACTCTCCTGTCCATGGGAGGGTTCAAGGTCAAGCACGGCATTGACTTCGCAGCTGTTTCCAAGAATGTCGAAAAAAGTTCGAACTCCAGTGCGTCGGATTCCAGCGAGAGAGGGTCGAAGCCGATTGAATCTGGCAGCCAGCAGCCTCTTGAAAGTCCTATTCGAGCCCAGGAAGAAGAACAGGATTTCACCTTGGTTCGTGAGGACAGCGATTCGTCTTCAAACCTCGAGCAGATGTCTCTCCAGCACCTTCTCGCTGATCACGAGCTGTCAAAGATGTGCTTTAGGATGCAGAGGTCGCTCAAGGGCGACGCGCTGAAAGGTGATGAAGGCAGCAGAGGGTCCAGTTCTAGCCTGGAGAGCCAAGAGGAGGGCTCGGAGAAGACTGGGTCTTCTCCGAAAGGGGCCACATGGGACGAGCAGTGCAAGCCAAAGAGCGTCAAGGCAGCCTGCGAGCCCCAGCAGGAGCGAGCGATCCTTACGGAGATGGCTCAGTTCTTGAATCGAACAAACATGCTACTACAGGGCAACGTGGCAAGCAACTCCCACAAGACGCTGGAGCCAGTGAAGCCCAGTGGCAGAGCACGAGAGGCGCACATGGAGGTGGGCTTGAAGGAATGTTGCAGTGACATGCGCGTGAAGAAGGTGCTGGAGGAAGGAGCTGAGAAGCCGAGGCAAGTGACAAGTTACTTCCAGGTGGGAAGCGACAGCAGGGCCCCAACTTCTGGGCCTGAGCCAGGAGATGTCGAGGATGCAGCGGTGAGCTTGAGCATGTGAGGGTTTTGCTGGTTGATGGGTGGCTGCTGCAGAAAGGATCCAAGGGCTCAGACTCCAGCGAGTCGGGGGATGGGGAGGAGGAGCTGGAGAACTACCCGGCAACCATTCCGAATCGTCAAGTCGTCATGATTTGTTAGATCGGGGAAGAAAACGGCACATCTGCATCTAAATTACATCTTCTAGTAGCTGTGCAAGGCAGTTCTGCTGACGCTCGCGCTCTTTCAGCACCGTCGGGATTGTCGATGATGAAGGGAATTCAACAAATCCAGACTGGGAAACGTGTTTTGTACATCATTCCATATGTTGTCGTTTTTGATTCTTTCCAATGAACCCCGGCTGAAGGCGGCCTCGGTTGCGATTCATCAGCCCCTCATCGTAGGCGTACCTGCCAACAGTCGTCAGAGGTCGCTTCCTTGCCAGCCTCGTCCCTCGCTGACCTGTATGAGTACATGAAGTCTCGCTTGCCCGGGTCTGAGAACCTTGGCCCTCGCATCCCCCTCACTGGTCGGATTCCGATCTGTCGGAGTATCTCGTATACGGGCCCCGTCGGCTCCTTGATGTCAACCTTGCCATTGACCAGCCAGCAATGCTGCTTGTCCTCCTGCACCATCAGGCGGATATCCGAGTTGAACCTTGGCAGCTCGTGCACGTGGATCTCAGCGAAGCCGAGCATGGAGTTCTCCTCGTCATTCTTGCTCTTCACCAGGGTCAGAACGTTGGCGTCGGCCAGTCGGACGAGGAGGAGGAGGAGATCTTTCATCCTCTTCTTGGCGTTGGCCTTCATCTCCGAGCTCGAAACGGCACTGTCAAGCCGCTCTAGAGCCCTCTGCGCGTCCTGGGGAAGGAATTGAAGGAAGGTAGGATGAATGCAGAACTTTGGGTATCTCGACACGCAGATCAAGCTCTGCACCTGCGCGTTCGAGTTCTCTGTGTGCGACCTCGATGTCTTGTCCTTGGACCCTACCAAGCGGGGAGCAACGTCGCTGAACGACCGGCCAACGTTGCTCCTGCCGAACTTCCAGTGGGGGCTCTCCGAGCACTCGTCCGGGTCGTCCGAGCTCTCCACCTGTGACCTGTAGCTTGCAGCCTCTGAGCAGTCGCTCAAGTATCGGAGGGAAGGCTCCGACTCTGGCTTCTGCTGCACATGCGCCAGCGCCTCCTCCATCCAGTCCCCGTAACCCGCTCTCGTCGGGATCAACCACAAGGACTTATGGGAGGGTCCATTCTTCAGGTAGGGGTCGAAGTACCTTGAATCACAAGGGCTCGAGCACGAGGCCGTGTCGTCGTCGCTTTTGGACGATGACTGCGCGTCTGAGTTGTGCGCCCGTGCGAACTCCCGTCCATGTTCCTCCTGGCAATCGATGATGGTCGACTCAACAGCAGCACTTGGGACCGAGCAGAAGGACGAAATATCAATCTCGTTGCTGTCTGTAGCCCCAACACTCCTGAGCTTCTTGAAGGGTAGGAACGCAGAGCACGTGGCCATATCGAACAAGCTTGGTCTGATTTCGACTGTTTCAATCTCTGCACAATCAACTCTTCTTTGGTGATTCCTTTGAATCCATTAGATTCAGTCCAGGTGATGCGGGAACCGAGGGGATGAACCTCTCCTGAATTCCGTTCATCCACCAGTTGCGAGCCTGAGTGTTCAATGCCCAAGACAAGCCGAGGTGACCTGCTAGCAAAGTCACTCCTCATCAACCCCGAGGGCCCAGAAAGCCAACAGCCGATCGACATGGTACGGTCTCTCAGACAGGCTGAAGGGGCTTGCAGTCAATGTTTTTCTTACGCCTCCTTGCTCCTCCTTCACACATCTCTTCACCACTTAGCCAATCTCATCCCCACACATCAACAAATCTCCGCCACTTGCTATTCGCTCCCTTTGCCATGATCTTTGCTCATCCAACGCAGAGAGATGGTGGCGAGATGAATTCGTTCCTTCAATCGGCACCCACTTGCTTCAACCCTCCCTGTCTCTCATTTTGTGGTCTCAACTTTATCTTCCCCTCTTTTTCATTTCCTGCAATCCCTTCCTTCACTCTCTCTGCCACCCTCATCCGCATCCTCCACATCCTCCACATCCCGGAAAATCTGCTGCACAAATGGAAAATTCTCACCTCAGTTCACCTCACCTTTTTCTCTGCAATTCACCCAATCCCTCTCACATTTCTTCTCTTCATCATCATCCCATTGTAATTTCTCTTCTCTTCTTCTCGGATCTGCGCCCATGTGTTCGGTGCATCCTATACCTACCACCTTCTACATCGAACCCAACGCAAACGTCGATTAAACGTCTTCGACCTATCTTCTGCCCTCCTCGTCTGCTCTTCTCTCCTTACTTGCTGTCCTCGTCAGTGATCTCCAAGTCATCGTGACCTGTCTCGTCCTCTTCCTTCTCTCCCTTCCTCTCCTACTTCCTCCATCTTCCAATCCTATCCTCCCCATCGCCATTTTCGCAGCACCCTTCCCTTCTCACTACCCCACCCCCTCGTGTACTCCGCGGGAGGAAAAAGTCCCACCACGACCACCCCCATCTCCCATTTTTGGTTCCAGGTTCCCGAATGGACCCCCCCTGATGAGCCATCACACCCCCTGTAGTCCCCTGCCTGTACATCCACCCCTTCGCTACCATGATCCACCACCCCACCTTCCTAAAATCTTAAATCTTTACATCCCCACTACCCCTGCCCCTTCCCCTCATCCAGCATGTTAGGGGGTAGGGTTACCCATGGATACAACTCGTCCTTGGTATCTCCACCCCTATTTTCCCCTTAACCACCCCCCTATAAATCAACACCCTACAACTGCCATATATGCTGTGAATGTACCCCATACCCTGTAGTAAAATTGTACCCTACCCCTCAATCCCCTTCCACTACCCCACCCTATTCTGTCTTCTAACCCCTATCTTCTCAAGCTCACTCACAGTCACCCGTCCTTATCTGCCCCAATAACCACTACCCCTATTTTTGACTTGTAAGTACCGGTACTGAAAGTACTGACAAATTCCAGGACCCTACCTACTAAAATTTGGACACAACGACGGGTGTTTTATCCTACCCGACTCCGCCACTGTTGGAGAGTCGCTGCTGCCTGCTACACGCTTCCCCGCTAGTCACCTCCTGTGGATCCAGCGGCGGGTCCAGCTATGCCCTGGCCCTCATGCAAGCAGCTGGACGAGTCTCACGGCGGGAAGGAGGTCGATGAATTGGCGAAGCACCTCAGGGAGTGAAGGTTTGGAAGCCAGGGAGAGCGAAGGGTGTTTTACCCTGTGATGTGAGATGAAGGGTTTTGAGGGGCAGACCCTGCATGCCAGAGTTGAGGAGGCAAATAGTTTGAAACATGGGTGAAAAGGTACAAAAGATAGCATAGATATCTTTCATACGAAAGATAGCATTCTGGGGAAGAAAACCAGGTGATATTCGTTTACTGCAAGAAGACGAGCAAAGGGATAGGACGTGAAAACAGTTAGTATCGGGCGTAAACAGAGAACATTTAACAGGACGGAGGTAATATTGTAGCCCTGTTCTTCACCTTGATGGCACATTTCAGTGAATCAAAAACCAATATCTTCTGTCGAAACCTTTCGTCATGCTGTTTCCCCTCCGCGCTCTTGTCGTGTCCTGTAAGAGGATGGGTTTACCACAATCGATCCTCGCAGCTACAAGCTGCTTGTAGCTGCGAGCCCAGCTCGGCAGTGTCAAGTGTTCACTCCTACACCGTAGGCTGACTGGAAACTGTCCCTGCACCTCTACTTTGGCTTCCGCGAGGCAGGGCCCGCTCCTTCACAGTTCCATCTTCTCCCTAGTCCTCCCTCCCTCCTATCGCTCCGCCGCCTCCTCCCGGGCTGCCCATGATGCGACGTTCAAGGCAGCATTTCCATGTATGCTTCGCCGGACGATGCGTCCTGTCAAAGTACATTAAATCGCTTTTCAAGGCGGAAAGCAGGGAAAAGATCGATGCACCCCATGCAAGCTGGCGGGGGAGGGTGGAGATGAGTTGGCGGAGCTGGCCTGCGGTCATGGCGGTTGCAGCCTTGTGCTCGTCCTCGTGTCAGCCTGTCAGCTGCTCCCTCCTCCTCAAGCCTCCTCCGTCTTGCAACATCAAGCTCGGCTTCTTGCCTGTTGCCTGGAGCCTGACAAGGAGGGCAGGGCCAGTCTCCGGATGTCCGCGGAGCTGGAGTGGGAGGAGCCCCTGGGAGGGACCGGATGCAGGACGAGATGCTTCTTGCATCGCCGCATGCATTCGCGATCTCAACAGTGCAAGGAAAGTGGAAAGAAGGACGATGGAGAAGTCAAAGTACTTGTGCTCGACGTATCCACCGGGGGCCCCTTCCTTGCTGCGGATCCCTGGAAGCCAAGGGAAGAGGAGGATGGTTCAGTTCCCCGAGGTCTCTGCGCACTACTACCTTCGTCGTCACGATAGGAGGAGGATGAGCCTGCTGGCAAGCTCAAACGAGATCGAGCCTGATGTGTACCCCGGGAACGAATTTTGGGAGGAAATGATGCTGGGGGTTGACCGCCCTTCGGCTAGGGGCATGCTCCCTCTGATCAACTCTAAGTATCCACTTGGTGTCGATCCAAACATCAAGGGGGTTTCAGAGTCCAAGGACTCTCTCTTCGAATTCTACAAGAAGGTTCGGCGCCAGGTGAGCTGCGGGCAGGTGCAACGGAGATCTTTGTGACAAAGGCTCCTGCAGCATCCGAGGAAAGTTCTGTTAGTGCGAGTAGGAGAGTTCTATGAAGCCTTCGGCTACTGTGCCGTCCTGCTCGTGCAGTGAGACTGCCATTGACGATCGAGCATGCTGTCAACTCTGATCCCCTGGCAGGCATGCGGGACTGAACCCGATGGGTAGCCGACTACCGCGGGCAGGATGCCCTGTGGTCAACATTCGTAGGACGCTGCAGGACCTGGTGGACGCGGGGCATTCAGTAGTTGTGAGGATGAGCAGCTCTGCTTGCGTGAGGTAACGGCAGAGGGGCAGGTGTGCGAGGAAATGCCTGTGCTGCCGGGGGCCAAGGGGAAGAAGAAATCAAGGTTCATCGCTGGTGAGGATGCAGGAGCAGAGCAGCTCCTCCCTCTGTTCCACCTCAAGATCATGGCAGGCATCGTGACCCCAGCATCTCCCATCTACGTGCACGGCATGTCGCTCGAGCGCGATAACGACGCGGGGTCGAGGTGCTCGGGTAAAGATTTTCGTGTGTTCCTGTTGGGGTCGAGGATTGTGAACGGCAACGCTGACAGATCTGCCGCCCATCATTGGGCTGGCAGCAACGACAAGAGGAATCATCCTCTACACCATCTCGCTAGACACTAGATCAGTGAAGGTGGGAAGCATTCCAGAGTAGAGGCGGCAACGGGATGACTTGGAGCGGGTTGGCAGGTGATGGAAGGGATGACAGAGGAGTCAGTCATGGCAAGGCTTGCAGCAGGAGGTTGCTCTCCTCCTCTCTACCTCCACAACAAGATCAGGAAGGTTCGCGTCTGCTCAGGGGGCCGAGCGGTCATGAACGTTGCTGTGATCCCAGAACGTTGTCGAGAGCCTCCAGCAGCAATCAGATCACGCGCATCGCAATCGAGTCTTCCTGTCAGGATCCGTCCGCAGTCCTGCCAATGACAAGTGAGAGAGGATGAACGTGAAGGGCGAGGGGGGGGCGAGGGCGAGGGGGGTGAAGACGGGGATACGATGTGCGAGGAGGATGGAACTGAGTGACATTGCTCAGACCGGGAACGTTCCTTCGTGCTATCCTCGATGCGATCCGAGTTGACATGTCGTTGGCGGTAACGTCTCTGTGCTCCACTCCTTTCGATCTGACTTCCTCCCTCCTCTCCGTCCTCCCACATCGCCAAGGCCGCGGAAAATTTCACCATTCTCAGTGAAAAGAGCACGGGAAGACCAAGGCCCCTGTACTTGACGACTGCAAGACAGGTGATGAGGAGAATGACAGTGACGGAGTAGGAGCAATGTTGAGCTGCTGCTGCTGCTGCTGCTGCTACAGACAGAGCTGGAGCGGGAGAGGGCGCTGAATTTTTAAATTTCTTTGTACAGATTGGGATCCTTCACAACGACGCTGTTCCCTCCCTCGTCGATGCCATCGTGACCAAAGACTCTGGTGATCGACTCGAGTCTTGGCATTCCCGTCTTGACTGGATGAGCTGCAGAGCATCTGATCCGATCCTTCTTCCAACGATGCTTGCTGCACCCCCTTCCGACCGACGTCGCCGATGCCGTCTCGGACGCTCTCACTCACCTCAACCAGACTTCTTCTCTCCTTCACTCTCTCCCCCGCTTCCCCGTCATGTCAACGTCTCGGGTTCCCTCCTTCTTTCTCCCTCCTCCTCCCTCCTCTCTGACATTTTAGCAGATCGCTCGCTACATCTTGGCGTGCGAGGCGAACAACATGATCTTCGAGGACATTTCCCGCGTGTTCAGCACCACTGCTTCCTCTCTCCGCTCGCCGCAGCTCGTCGACTTCAGCGTCTGCGTGCTGAAAGTCGCGAGGTTTGAGACTGGGATAGGTGAGAGCTGAATGGAAGGAAAAGGGAAAGGGAAAGGGGAATGGGGGGAGGGGTGGAAGGGGAGTAGCGAGGGAGAAGGGGGAGATGAAAGAGGGGCAGGAAGAAATACGAGGAGGCGGAACGGAAGGGAAGGGAAGGGAAGGGAAGGGAAGGGAAGAAAAGGGAAGGGAAGAAAAGGGGAAGGGAGGTGAGGGGAGGGAGAAAAAGTGAGGGGGGCAGTGGCTGATGATTTCCAAGGGAACGTGGAAGTGGAGCCTTTGCTGAAGGCAGCGGATCAAGTGATTGAAGAAATCAAAGAAACCATCATCTTCTCAGATCGACACGCTGGGAGCGAGCAGCGAAAGCTGGAGGACGAGGAGGGTCTCATCGAGGACAGCCCGGGCTGGACCCGCCTGCTGGACTTCTTCTCCTGCAACGAGCAGTTTGCTGGGAAGGTCAAATTCGAGCGAGCTGAGAAACCATTCCAGCTGGTGGACGACGCCAAGGATCGCGTCATCCGCTGTTTCTCCGAGGAGCTCGTGCCGGTCTGGGGGGCCCTGGTGGAGAACTCGCGGGGGGAGTCGAAGAAGGCGAGGAAGGTGACCCTGGATCATGATGTGGTAAACAACGACCTCTACATCCGTGGCATCTCCCTGGAGCGAGCTGAGAAGTTGCTTCCTCCGGGCCAAGCCTCTCTCCTCGTCGTCCCTCGAGACAGGAACGGCCGACTTCTCCACGACTGTGTGAGCTCACGAGGCTCGGCCGAGGCGATCGCTGCATACAAGGAAGCATGCGAGCATGCGACTGCGGCGGTGCGAGAGGTCCTGCGAACTCTGTCCTCGTTCGTGGGAGACCGGATGCCGTTCCTGATCAACTCAGTCGCCTTCTGCACCATCGCCAAGGCTCTGGTCGCGCACTACGCGGAGGCCAGCAGGAAGAGCTGGTGCTTCCCCGATCGGGTCAAGAGCCAAGAGGGGCAGGTGGGGGAGGACACGCTGAACATAGGAGGGCTGATCCCCTACTGGATGGACCCACAGAAACCAGGTGAGCAAGGAGGAGGAGGAGGAGGAGGAGAAAGAGAGGGAGGAGGAGGAGGAGGAGGACGAGACCGACACAGCTCTAAGAGAAGAGCATGCGCAGGAGTGATAGTAGCCAACGACATCAAGCTCTCCGGCATGATCGTTCTCACTGGGCCCAACACTGCCGGCAAGTCGACCATCATGCGCTCCGTCTGCGCCGTCTCCCTCCTTGGCAACTGCGGGTTGATGGTGCCCGCCAGTCATGCAAAGGTAGCCGCTCCTCCTCCTAGCCGCTCCTCTTGCTTCTCGTCTGTTCGCTAGTCCTCCTTCCCTTCCTTCTTCACCATTACCACATGCTCCTCGTCCTCGTCCTCGTCCTCCACTACCATCACCACCACCACCTCCTCCTCCTCCTCCGCCCCCTTTCCTCGTGCACTTTATCTTCGTCGCTTTTTGATCTGCAGCTGAGCCATTGCGCAGGTCCCCGTGCAGGACAGCTACTTCCTGCGAGCCGCCTCCTTCGACTCGCCGGCCGAGGGGCTGTCAGCCTTCGCCATGGAGATGCTGGACACAGCGACGATACTGCGAGATGCGACGAGCAAGACGCTGGTGAGCGAGTGCAACGGAGGAGAGAAGGGAAGGGGAAGGAGGACGAGAGAGAAGGGGAGGGGAGGGGAGAAGAGCATGCTAGAGGGGGTCTGCTCGTGAAGGCAGAGCAGGTGCTGGTGGACGAGCTGGGGCGAGGCACGGAGACACGTGCGGGAGCAGCGATAGCTGGAGCCGTGCTGGAGGAGCTGCTGGCTAGGAGATGTCGCGGAATCTTCACGACGCACCTGCACGAGATGTTTGACCTGCCGCTCGAGATCAGTGAGGGAGGAGGAGGACGGGGAAAGTCAGGACAAGTGAGGAGGATAAGACGACAGGAGCGAGGAGGAGGAGGAGGAGGAGGGGGGAGGAGAAGGAGGAGACCCGGGGGGACGGCGAGGAAAGAAGAAAGACCTCTATATGGAGGGGGCGGTGGAGGGAGAGGAAGTGGTGGTTGAGGGAGAGTACTGTAATCTCTGTACCGCTTGCTGTTTGTGACGACGGAGTAGGTCAGGCGAGGTTTCAGCAGATGGAAGTGAAGATGAAGAAGAACGGCGCCTGGGACCCAACATGGCGGCTGGTGGCTGGCCGATGCGTCGACAGCCTGGCAGTGCATGCAGCAGAGAAGTGCGGGATACCCGGCATGCTCATTCGACGCGCCAAGACTCTGGTGAAGTGGCAGAATCGCGTGTCAAAGAGGAGCGTGCAAGGGGAGCAGGCGGGGCTGGAGGAGGAGGTAACAGACTTCAGTCTGTACGAGGAGCAGGAGCAGGAGCAGGAACCGCAGCAGGAGCAGGAGCCGCAGCAAGTGTCGGAGATATTCTTTGCAGAGGGCGAAGGGGAGCGGGAAGAAGGGGAGGAAGTGGTGGAAGAAGAGGATGAACCAGACGAGGACGTGGAGAAGGCGGAGAAGGAGGTGGGAAGGGCTCGAGGGAGGAGGAGGAAGGAGGGAGCCGCTGCAGAGAATCAGCGCAGCTTGGAGGAAGCGATCGCGGTGCTGAGGAACTTGATCCAGAAGCAGCAGGGGGGGGCGAAGGATGTGGAGGTCACGATCATTGACGAGAGCTCTGAACCTCATCCTAATGCGCAAGGGAGCTCGCATGTTTACCTGGCCCGGACCAGCCTTGGCTTCTTCTATGTGGGAGAGACCGACGACATCCGCACCCGCATTCAGGTGCTCTTCCTCCTTGACCCCTCTCGTGCTGCCACTGGCAGGACATGGCAGAACGTGTCCTCCTCCTCCTCCTCCTCCTCCTCCTCCTCCTCCTCCTCCTCCTCCTCCTCCTCCTCCTCCTCCTCCTCCTCCTCCTCCTTCCTCGCTCTCGCCCAATCTTTGTTACGTCTCCCTCTGCCTCCTTTCCGTCATTCTTGATGCCTGGGCAGGCCCATCGTAGGAAGAAGCAGATGAAGGAGGCCATCTTCGCGCTCTTTGAGATCCAGGAAGGAAAGAGCAGGGCGAGGCAGGTGGAGGCTCAGGGGATCGCAGCCCTGGTGGAGGTGAAGTGCATCTGCTCCCACCTCCCGATAACTGCTGGCTCCTGCTCCTGCTCCTGCTCCTGCTCCTGCTCCTGCTCCTGCTCCTGCTCCTGCTCCTGCTCCTGCTCCTGCTCCTGCTCCTGCTCCTCTACTTCTTCCGCCCCTCACAGCTCTGCGCAGGCTGGGTTCGCGATGTTGTCGGCCAAGGATGCAGGTGTAGAAGAGAGTTCAACGAGTTTATTTGTCGTTCTGACGGTTGGCGCAGAACATTTTCGCTTCGGGGGGCGCGTGACGAGATCACAGGAAACGTAAAAGTACAAAAGCGAGCACAACACAAGAGAGTAGAAGCAGGTTGCTTCCTACTCCTTCTTTCTTGGAACCACAAACAGAGCCGATCCGTCAGCGAATTCTCTGTTGCGCACAAACGTCAGTCACTATCTCGAGCTCACTCCCGCACTTACGTCTGCTTGCCGTCGCTGACAACAGCGTCCAGAGTTACCTTTCGCCCTTCAATGCTCTTTAGCTTGACTGTGATCTGACCACGAGACAACTCAGCAGGGCAGGAGAGGGAGAAAAGGTGGAGAGGGAGGGAGGGAGAGGGAGAAAAGGGAGGGAGGGAGAGGGAGGGAGGGAGAGGGAGGGAGGGAGAGGGATTGAAGAGAAGGAGAGGCGAAGTTTAGAAGCGGATTGGGGTCAAGGACAGCAGGGGGAAGAGAAGCAACAGGCACACCAGTAGAGGAATCCCGGCAGGGGTCGGCTTCTTGTAGTTGACATGCAGGTAGGCCGTGAAGCCAAGTCCCCTCCCCAACGCCATGAACGCGTGCCCGCAAGACTCGTCGATGGCGGTGGCTATCGCTCCTCCGTGAACGATCTCGGGGTGGCCCACCTGCTGCTTCTCAGGCCAGCCGAAGCCAAGGGGACGAGGAGGAGAGCCAGAAGGGGATGGAGCGAAGGAGGTCCGAGGGAACCACGAGCAAGCAGGAGATGAGACAATGAAGTGGAGGAGGAACGGTGACGAGGAGGAGGGAGCGGGGAAGGGAGAGGATGGCGAGGAGGACAAAGGGAAAGGGGGGGGGGGGAAGGGGATTACCGCATCCTTCCCAAAGTGCCATGTGCAGTACACGTCTCTTGATTCGTATCCCTACCGATCGTCGTCAGCGAGTGAAGAGGGAGCTCTTTTTCGAAAGACCTTCTGGTTCTTCTTGTCCTCCTCCTCCTGCTCTTCACTGTACGGAGTTTCCGGGATGTAAATCTTGGTGAGCAAGCGTCAAGGAATCCTTCCCACGTCCTCTCAACACTCACCCTCGGCATGCAGACCAGCAAAGCTCCATCAGTGCTGCTCTGAGCAAACCGACTCACCTGGGCCTGCAACTTCAACCTGACCACACTCTCACTCTGAGCTTTGTTGACACTCCTTCACAGAGAGCATACCCGGGCCTGGAAGCGATCTCTTCCTCCCACTCTGGGAGCTTCAAGGTCGGAGGGAAGAAATAGTTCTTGATGATGGTTCCGATCTTGGGCACGAGCAGCTTTGGCACATAGAGGTACAAACTAACTGCCAGACAGATGGCGGTGAAGCATGAAGAGACCAATACCTCGTAATGAGGTCGAGGCAGCCTCCATTCTCCCGCTACCGAATGCGCATCCTTGTATCCCTCTGCCCATGCCACGCTTCCTCCTGCAAGAGCCGCTCCGCCGATGAAGAGCGCAGTAGCTTGCTTTGCAAACATGCTGTCGAGGGAAGAGTAAGTATGAAAGAAACCAGCATAACCACCATCCACAGATCTACTTTCATGCATCCCTCATACATTCACTTCCAAATAGACCTCATCCTCTCCTCCTCCTCATGCTGATGCTCCTCCCCCTCCCCCTCCCCCTCCCTCTCCTCCTCCTCATGCTTATCACCCCCCACCACCACCCCCCACCCCTTCCTCCTCCTCCTCCTCCTCCTCCTCCTCCTCCTTCTCCTCACCTTCTGAATCCCCGCATTTTTGTCGGGCTCCTGTTCCTGTTAAAAGCACTCAATGCACCCCCCACCTCTCGTATCCCCTAGCTGGGTCCCCACCCTATCTATTACCTCCACAATTACCATCATTGTACCGGTATCTTCCAGATTTCTGAGTACCCCCACCTACTATCAACCCCCTTGCACAGGGCTCCCGACGTAGAGTACCCCTATCTTCCCATTCCACTACCCCTCTGGTATTCAAGGATCTTCGTGTCTGCCTGCTAGACCCCCTGCCATTCATTCAATACCCCTGCAAATGACTGCAAATTTGAGTGTCAAGGGTAGGTATTGTCACACCAGCACCGGTGCTTGGAAAAGGGTAGTCTACGGGGGTAGTTGACTGCAACGTGGAAGATAGTTTGGGGGTGGGGGTGGGGGTAGGCCCGCCGGTTCTCCGGACTCCTCCGAACCGGTGACAGTCACCCGGCGGGTCCGGTCGGACCTCCGAACGACCACACCGGGTCCGCCCCCCAACTCCGCTCACTGACTCGGAGCGCCGCGCCCCGGCATGCGTCACATAACAGGAGTTTACCATAAACTTTCACATAGTTTCATAACAGCAGCCTTAGCTCGCAATGGCATTGCTCACAGGCTTGCAGTGCCTTGAGGTCGTTGACCCGGGCAAAAGTACCACAAGGGCATCATTATTGCAAGCATCACAAGGTCGACACACATGTAGTTCCCGCCTAGCTGGTTGTCGGAGATACTAGCGAGGGGATAGACCAAGAGAGAAATGACCGCAGCCACTAGCTGCATGAGTCCGAAGAGAAACCCGAAGTTGGCATACCCGAACGTGGCTGAGGTGTAAGAGTAGAGCACTGCAAAGAGGACCATACGGTGAAGGCTGATGAAGATGATGGACAAAAACTGCACCTGAAGCACAGGCACGACATTTGTAATACCTGCAATACAATGCTGTTAGACCCGTATGACGGAACAGGGCAGTAAAAACTTTACCGTAGCCCATTCCCAGCATATTGCAAAATATGAAACCGTGCCAAAGGCTGTATCGGTCAATTATACGCCCGATTAAAGGTATAGACAAGGCACCAAAAGGTAGAAGAAGTGTTAGTGCCAGAGTATAAACATTTGTTTGTGAAGAATTGCCTTTTCCTTCAAGATACTGTATCTGCTGTATGAAAGTGCCAATGTACAAGTTGAAGCGTAGGACATGAATACAAGCAAAGCTGAAGAGCAGCAGGTACTCTTTCGATCGCATCTGGCGTAACAGAGGGGCATTCACCAAAGAATTCGAGGCTGTCCCGGGGATACGAGCATTGGATTCAGTACCGAGATCAGTCTGCGTGTCTATATCGCCTTGAGTTCCATCGGACTTAGAGGTATACTCAGAGATGACTTCAGACTTGGATGCTTCGAGAACGACGTCCTCGGTCACTTGTGGGGGCATCTCGACATTTTCGACAATGCTGCTGTGCGGAACGATGGTGTATCTCAGAAGAAACCCCCTTAGATAGACCTTGTCTCCGTCTTGAAACCGTTTGATGGGCCAGACAAATGCTCCAGCAAGGGCGAGAAGCATCAACCAGGAGGCATGCACGAGGAAGACGTACTCCCTGTTCGCATGCACGCCCTCCAGCAACCAGCCCTCGAGAGGAAAGAGAATCGCGCTCATGACAAACGCACCGACCAGGCAGCTCTTCATTGTCCCTCTGATCCCCTCTCTGAATAAGTTGGCAAGGTGAAACAGAGAAAGATGCACGCCGGGGCCCCGCCCGATCAAGGCGAACGCTTCTGGGTATCCATCGAAGCCGTTGGAGTCGCTAAACGACAAGATGTAAAACCCGATAGATATGCAGGTCAAACCTGTGCATGATGCAATTTTAGGCCCAATGCGGTCGAGAATTATGCCATGGCAGATGAAGGAAGCGAACAACGCAGATGATCCGATGGTATACAGAAGGCTAAACCGCAGGTCTTGATTGGCGCAATGTACCGTGCCTGACGTTGAATTGGTGGAGCTGCATAGAGAAGAGTACTGGCCAATGTTTTTCAGAGCGCTAGCAATGGCTGTGAAACCAAATATGATTCCCGAGCAGCTGAATGATTGAATCAGGCCGAAAATGAAGAGAATGGTGCGGGAAGTTTCGAAGTTGCACCAGGTTCTGGAAGCAGCGGTCGCTTCCGTTGAATCCATCTTTGTTTGTTGATGTGGTTACGAAACTTTCGATTTTTAGATGAGCTCACTTCTGCTCGTATATTCCTACTTGGAGTATATCCCTTGCACAGTTCTGCCCACAATATGTAATGTTGTATCCAATGAAGCGCTGCAACTCAGTCCCAAAGTCAATATCTCTCGCTTTCCCTCAAGAGACCACCGGGCGTTCCAACTTCGTTCTGTTGAAGACTCTCTTTGCACAAGGTTCTCTCCTCCCCTTCGCTTCCGCGCTGCTTCTTTTTCGCAGCCTCCTCTCTTCACCACTCTCAACCCATTCCGTCCCTTGCTCCATCACAAACCTTGCAAGCGTGATCACCCCCCTAATTTCCTCACCACCCCTCCTCTTCCCTTATTTTACCCCCATCATACCGTCACTTTCCGCCCCACCCCCTGTCTTGTTTGTCTCATCCCCCGATTACCCACCCCCACCCCCCTTCACTCAACAAACCACCCCTCCTTTCCACTTCCCACCTGCCTACCTGTGCCTTCCCTGCCCTCATCGCCTCCTCCTCCCTCTCCTCCCTCCTCTTCCTCTTTCCCGCTCTCGAATATCTCTATGACCCCCTCTTGGCCCACCCAAAGATGAGCAGAAGGGAGTTGAGCATTCCTTCAGAACTCCTCAACAATGAAAGGTTTGCTCGATGTCTCCGATCGACAACAATTTATTTCAAAGCGCCTTGCACGCTTGTTGAACGACTCGTTTCATGATACAGTTTCAGCTCAAAGTATTATCTGTCAGCATTGCCTCTGTTCATGAGATCCGTTTTGGCTTCAGATGCCATGTGGAACATCTCCTTGCAGTAAACTATGAGAGCAATCACCGGGTTCACGATTACCATTTCCCACCCTCACAGATTGACAGCAGAACATCTTTGCTCGCTCAACACAAACATCTTGTGTTGATCAGCAGTTACGACAAGTCTGCATGCTTTCCTCTCTTGGCTCCTCATCAACTTTTCCTCTCTGCCTCCACCGGCTGCTACGACATGCTTGTCGAAACTCTCTGGGGTAGGGTACTAAGATAGGAAAGAGGGGGTAGGGGTGCATGGGCTTTCTTGGCGGGAACAAGTTTGTGGGTTATGCAGAGCGAGGTGATGAAGGTGAAAGGGTGTCGATGTTCGAGAGGATGGGCGTCAGAGATTACACAGATCTATGTAGAGTTTAGTCCTCAAAGTCTTGAGAATTTGAAACATTTCGGCACGCCTCTCTCTTACAGTTTGGTCTCACGAAACATGGTTGTTTTGAATTCATTTTCTGCAAAGCTCGAAATTTACTAAACAAACGTACTTCTTTGTTCAGATAAAACAAACCTTGGAAGTGAATCTTGTTTGGAGAAGACACTGATGAGCACTTGGATTGTAAAGCCTGAATTTACAAGCCTTGTTGAGAGCTCAATGGCGATATTGAAGCATGACGATAGCAAGCATATCAAGGTCGTTCAATCTACAAAGATACCTGCCGACATAATCCTGTCGTACGGATCTAGAAGCATTTCGCTGATTATTCTCGAAGTGAAGGAAGATGTTGGAATTTCAGCTGAGCGTCTCGAGTCTATCAAGTCCATCGGAATGAAATTTGGTTGTGATAGATCCGCCGTGATAGTTGTTTGCACCTCCCATGAAGACCTCTTCAGCAGCATTTCGTCAGTGCACAAGACATGCTGGTAACCAAAGGAGGAGAAGACTTTGAGGAGCTCATGCACGTCGTTTGCAAATGATTTGAATCAGGATGTTGCCCATTCAGAATCGGCCAAGAATTCTTGAATTTCCGAATGGCATTACTACGGTAAATTCGTAATAATGATTTGGTTCGTGAGCATAGTTTCAATGTAAGCCAATCTCAAGGGTAAGCTCAGTTGACAGGATGTTGTGCTAAATTCGCAATCCCTGACTCGGTTCTTGAGCAGAAACTAACACAGATTCCAGAAAGAAGCCTTGATAGGGTTTGTGAGGACACTACCAAGGCTTGCAGACTTGACCAATCAGGCATGTGAGCTCTGATCGGCGCATCAGAGCATCAAGTGTTCTTATTAGACGCATCCAAGATATCGTGCGATGATATGAACATTTGATGGTCGATGCATTTCTGCATTTGCTGATCTTGGTTTCCAGTGCCGAGAGTTCCTGGAAGCTAATCTGAAGAGCGACCATGTCATCCAACCGATCATTCACTCTCTAATGAGGCGACGCGAAAACTTGAAGCAGGTGAACGTCAAATAATCCGGTCGAAAACGGTGACCCTTGAGGGCACAGAAGATTGAACGTGACCATCCATCTGCAACACAGAGAGAGCGCGGTATGAGTTGTAGAAATTTCTTTCAATGATCTCTGCAACTGCAGGATTCTGAGACAAATTTCATCTCAATCAGGAATTCAATCAAATAATTCCAAGTGATTTGCAGAGACGATAAATACCAAGTTCCATGTGTCACTTGACCTCTGAAAATAAAGATCAATATGAGACGAATGCACACGGGTTAGAAGTAGAAATGCTTGTTTAATAACTACAAACCAGCAGGCATTTGCTTTACCCTCCTCTAACTCACCCGAGTGAAAAATTATCTTACATCACCGAACCGAAACCGCGCTCTAGACACCGCTGGGTCCCTTAGGTCCTCGGGGACCCACAGGCCCCTGGAGTCCCTTGGGACCTGGAGGTCCCTGGTCACCTTGAGGTCCTGCCAAACTTCCAACCGGTCCCGCTGGTCCTGGAGGTCCTTCGGGGCCAGGAGGGCCTTCCTGGCCTTGTCTACCCAGTTTGATGCTGATCAAGGTTCCCTCCCCAGCATTCGACTTCAGCTTTGCAACATCATCTTCCAACCCATTCACCATCGCATTCACTTTCTCATAGATCTCCTCCACGTCAGCAGGCGTCTTGCGCGCTCCAACGGGCAGGGGAGCCCCTTCCCTGAAGTCCTTGGGGTTATAAGAATCACTCTCATCTTCCCCCGTCAGCTGCACCAGCGACGAGATCTGCTTGTTGTCGTTCGGGATGAAGGTCATGCACATGATAACGCCAACACACAGCAGGCCGCATCCCACAACTGGAGCGCTGAACCGCGTCCTCCACATCTCCATGGCGAAAGGTCAGCTTATCACCCTACCCCTGTCGCGGAATTCCAAGGAATCACCCACCCCCATATTCGACTACCCCCAAAACTCCTCAGTACCCCTGCAATCAGCGATGCATTCATGACCACCCTACCCTTGACTAATAAAGGTTAGCCTCAGTAATAATCCACTGCTCGGCCTCGGCCCGGCGCCGGGCCCGAGCGGCGGATGCCCGGGATAAGTAAAAAAAATTGACTACTCCAACCGCCCGCGGCGCTCCAATGGGTTGGGAAACTTCCAAGGGAGAGAACGAGCGCTCGGAAGGAAGACAGTGATGGTGGAACTTGCAAGGATGGAGCTGTCGTTCAACTGAAGTCACAGACTTGACTATCATGAGCCAGGATATAGCAGATGACAATGATGAGATGCCAGCGGCCCTGGAAGCTGGCAAGAAGGAGACGGCGGAGGCATCAGGGCAGTTCGAGAGGATAAAGTCGAGACCCAGCACTTCAAACTCCTGGGTCGGAGGGAACTTGACCGACGAGGCTCAAAACCCGACAGGGGATGGAGCAACAGGCGTACAAGTGTTCCATGTAGTCTCAGATGACTCGGAGAGCGAACACATGGACGCTCCGTCTCCTCCCCCCCCTGACAACGACGAGCCGCTCGGAGGGGGGCAGAGGAGGCCGTTCCCGTCCCTTGCAGATCTGGTGGACAGCGGGAGTGATGCCTCGGACAAAGAAATGGAGCCTCCTTCCCCACCCAGCTCTGCGGCGTCCAGCGAAGGCTCCTTCATGCACAGGATGGAAGAGTCCCGCATGTATGCAGGAGTCCATCCAGGAGAGTTCGACGAGCAGGGTGCTGCTGGGTCAGGGTATGCAGACTCGACTATCCTGGAGAGGCTGCAGCAGCTGAAGCTCAGGGAGACGCAGCTTGAAGCCAAGATCCGAGAGAAAAGGAAGCGCGCAAGGAAGGCTCAAGAGGAGGCTGAAAAGAAGGAAGAGGAGGGTACAGCAGCGCTGAGCGATGAGCCTGCCCCCCTGCATCACGATCAGGCAGACCAACTTGACGATGCTCCCTCGCCAGACCCGGACCTGGTTGTGCCTGTGCACAAGGTATCAGCGAAGGAATCATACTTGAAGTCGTTGCAACTCAAAGAGAAAGTGGAATATGACAAGATGGTGAAGAGATGGCCGAAGATCAGGTCAAGCTTCCTCCTGATCTTCTACGATGCCGTGTACAAGACAAAGGCTCTGCGGAAACTCAGGAAGCAAAGGCTGGCGGAGATGTTCTGGTATATCATCTTCGTGACCATCATCTCACTTTGTATTATACAAGCTCGATCCTACATGCAGATCTTTAACGCCGTGGACACCTTGAAGCAGAGCATGTGGACCTTGTCCAACTTCACGGACATGCTTGTCATCGTCAGCAAACTTCAAAGTTCTGTCCTCTTCCAGAATGTCTCGGACATGAAGAACCCGGGCACAATGAAACTCAAATTGAAGTCGAATGTTGTTGGGAACAACCTCATCGCAGGGGACGTACAGCTCAGGCAGTGGAAAGTCCCGCTGCACTCTTGTAAGATCCCCGAGTTTGTGTCAGAGGTCGGAGTATGCTTCCCCGAGTACACCAAGGCCAACCAGGAGGTCACGTTTCTTCCTGCTCCTTTGCCCGTTGCCTGCTCTGTCTTCTCCTCCCCTGTAGCACTTTCCCTCTATCTCAAATCTCTCTGGCCTCCCCTCCCTCCCTTACCCTTCCTCCCTCTCCTCCCTTCCCCCTTTCCCTGCCCCTCTCCTCCTCTTCTCTCGTCCTGGTCGACTCGTCTTCTTGCCTGTGACTCTTCTTCGTGCACAGATTCGCACGATGCCTCCAGGTCAGTACCCATGGACGCTGGACCCCGACGGCCTCGTGCCCTCCTGGGGCTACTGGCTGGGAGGAGGAGGAGATTCGTACATCCCCCTCGAATCTTTCCTCGCGCGAGTGTACGACCAGGGGGCCTATACGGCAGACCTGAACAGCTCGCACGACGATGTTGGCGGTAAGGGGAGAGGAGAGGAGAGGAGAGGAGAGGAGAGGAGAGGACGAGGTCAAGGGTGACGCGGACCCTCAGCCTTGTTCGGCGAGCTTAAAGCGAATCGCTGGCTGGACCACAACTCGACGAGGATGGTGCGATTGGAGTTCAAGTATGATATGAACAGGGAGCTTGTCCAGTGCTAAACGGCTGTGCAGTTTCTACAACCCCAACGTCGAGCTGTGGTTTGCTGCGATGATCCAGTGGGAGGCAAGGAACCGTTGCCCATGCTCCCCCTGCCTGACTTGCGAGCCTCAGGTCAGCCAGACTGGCAGCATCGTCAACTATTTCAGGGTTCGCCCGATGGATCTGTGCCCGACTTGTGCGAGGGGAGGCAGCGGCTCACAGACAGGGATCTTCGTCACCATGGTCGTCCTCGTCGCTATCTACACGGGCATACAGGTGATCACTCCTCCTCCTCCTCCTCTTTCTCTTCCTCCTCCTCTTGCCCTTGCCCCTGCCCTTGCCCTTGCTCCTGCTCATCTCAACGTACGACCTTCTCTCTCCTGATTCTTCTGCTCCTTTCTCCCTGCTTTCCCTCCTTTCCTGCGCCCTCCCGTCCGCTCCCGTTCTCCCCCACTACCCTCACCGATCCCCTGTCTCGTCTCCTCCCGTCTCCTCCATCCTCATCTCTGCGCTCTGTTTGCCATTGACTGGCAAGTTTCAGGTCGTTCACATCAGCGAGTTGAAAATCAAGTACCTCTACGACTTCTACAACGTCCTCACCATCTTGAACCTCGTGGTCAGAATCTCCCTGCAACATCTTGCTGCGAACAGCTCCTTCCTTCTCCCCTTCTATCTTCACTTCTCTCACTCCCCCCTCCCTCTTACTTCTCTTCATCGTTTCTTCCCCTTGTTGTTTGTCTTAATCTTCATACAATCTTTCTTCTCCTCCTCGTTCTCCTCGTTCTCCTCGTTCTCCTCTTCTTCATTCTCGTCCTGCTCTCCTTCCTTATCATTCTTCTCCTTCAGATCTTCTACATCGTCATCGTTCGCGAAGTCTCCACCCGCATCGCTGCCAATCGGATCAACAATGGTCCCATAAGCTCTCAGCCTCAAGAACTTTCCTACTCCATCCAGCTGGTTCGCAACCTTCTCTGGCTCTTGCTCCTTTCCTCCTCCTCCTCCTCCTCCTCCTCCTCCCACTCCTCCTCCTCCTCCTCCTCCCACTCCTCCTCCTCCTCCTCCTCCTCCTCCTCCTCCTCCTCCTCCTCCTCCTCCTCCCTGTCTGACAGCTTCTATAGATCAACTACTGGACTGCGTTCAATGCCATGCTCCTCTGGATAAAGTTGGCAAAGTTCACGGACGTGGTTCGAGTTGGCAAAGTTCACGGACGTGGTTCGAACCCCTGCCCCTGCTCCTGCCTCCCCTCCCCTCCTTCTCCTCGCCCTCCTTCTCCTCCTTCTCCTCTCCTCCTCCTCCTTCCTCCCCACCCCCCACTCCACCTGCTCCTGCTCAAGCTCCTGCACCAGCTCCTGCTCCTGCTCCTGCTCCTGCTCCTGCTCAACATCCAGCAGAGGTTCTTATTCTCCAGCAGATGAGCGCCCGGGTCGCTGCCTATTCAGCTGCATTCCAGCACACGTGCTGGGACGTCGTCGCGGTGATGATCGCCTACGGGATGCTGTTCGGGGGGTTTGCGATCTCGTTCCACGTGTACCTGGGACAAGACATGCGAGAGTTCCAGGTGAACAGAAGCAGGGGGGGAGGCAGGGCCAGGGCCAGGGCCAGGGCCAGGGGGCAGGGGGAGGGGCAGGAGACAGGGCCAGGAGACAGGGCCAGGGCCAGGGCCAGGGGAAGGGGCAGGAGACAGGGGCAGGAGACAGGGCCAGGGCCAGGGCCAGGGGAAGGGCCAGGGGAAGGGGCAGGAGAGAGGCGGGATGAGGGGGGAAAGAGAAGTTTTTAACACCCTGAAAGGACATGAAGACCGCCGCTTACTCCATGTGGACCATGGCGACGGGGTTGGGCCCTTACAGCTCGGATTTCTATCGCACGCAGAACGCAGCTGGTATTGAGGAGGCTAAGAGGAGGGGAGGGTAGGGTGGAGGAGCAGGGTGAAAGGAAACTGGAATGTGAAGTTGTGAGGAACGGAGAAGAGTCAAGGAGGGAGGAGGAGGAGGAGGAGGAGGAGGAGGAGGGTAGGGAGGGTAGGGAGGGA